CTTCTTACAAGCAAATAAATCACGATAAATTAAAAAAAAGAAGAACTTAAGAAGAATGAAGAAGACGAGGTTTACTTGTTTCCAGTATCTAATATTGTTATTTGGACTTCATATAAATATAAACTTTAAAAAAACCAAATAAAGATACCTATTGAGCTGTTTCAAATGTATGAATGAGATATAACAAATAGAAGTGTTAATGTCAGGTTTCCAGTAGGTACGATTAAACTGGCATAAAGTGACCTACCGATCTATAGGTACTATGAAAGCACGAACTATGCGGACTAATACCAGAGCAACATTGAATTACATCTGCAATGACTAATAAACCGCTAAGATTATTGAGTAGCAATGTTCATCTAAGATCTAACACACCTTATTTGTTATATTTCATCCATACTCGCATCATGTCTGTTAGGTAGACATAAAAATATATGGATCCACAGTATTGCACCTATGACATACCGATGAAGATCAATTAATTCGGAACTGGCAATTCTACTTATGCTTTTTGTTATATATTGCAGGTGTATTGAATTCAGTGTTACAAAATATTGCAGCTATATTTTCAACATTTGTTTAAATTTTCATGAAATGAATTGATATATCTACTTTTTCATAGTAAATATCTAGACAGATCTGCTAGTCACTAATAATTTTTTATAGTAAAAAATAATCTATCCAAATCATAGGTACTAACAAAAAAATATAGAAATCAGTAACAAACAAATACCTAACACATTGACGTTATTAAATAATGTTTCAAGGCTTCAAAAAATTCATTTATATATTTGTTTCAAATGGTATGTGTAACCTTTTGAAATATCTAGTACATTTTCTAGAATTAATTTGAATTAGTTTTTTTTGTTTGTACACAAAATGAAAATCTCAAAATTTTTTAATTCTAAACAAATTTCCTCAGGAGGAGGATGTTTTAAAAAATAAGTGCAGTATACACTTCTTGATTTTCAGATTTTTTTCAATTTCTAAAAATTTTCTTTTATTAATAAGCCATTTTTCGACAAATTGAAATTCTGACATTACTTTTAAATCTAAAACAGCTGTTTCTAATAGCATTCTCTTGTTGTTGAAAATAGTTTACTCTTTTTATTTTAAAATTATTTAATTTTATTACCGCGAAAAGTTCCTTGTAGATGATTTTATATTTTAGACTATTTCACTCATTATAATCAATCAAGTTTAATTTTTTATTAATTATTATGAGTCACTACTACTCGAGTCATCTGAAATTTTTATGGTGGTAAAATCACATATAGTTTCCCGAGTTTTCGTTTTTTTCTGGCAAAGAAAAGCTGGAGGGGATTAATTTTAAGTAAAAAAAGTTATATCCTTTTTAGAAACGTCAGTGATTTTGCCTCTTTTTTTACGAACTGTCATATTTACTACAATATATTTGAAAATTCAGCTTAGTTACTTTGGAGCAGGCTCTTTATTTTGTTACCGACAAAAACCATATTAAGTGCTTTCAGCAGCGATAAAACCACAAAGTACCTACAGAACAGAATAATAATATAACGTCGGATTCTTTGATTTCTCTGGGAGGTTCGAATCCATATTGTTAGCAGGTGTAGAATTTTGGCTTGCACACAAAATTTTTAATCAAAACTTGTCATATCCATATTTAGATTAATTAATTCACTTGCTACATATTATTAATAAAATATACATCTATATACAGGGTGTCCCGATACTTGCTACAAAAAATTCGAGTACATATAGATGAGGTCAAAATAATATATTTACATATTTTTTAATATACATTTTTTCCATACGGGCCTTCGTTAACAAGTTAAAGGCCCTCAAAGTTGAAAATTAAAATTTTATTTTTATTTACAGTCTCTAAACTATTAACTTCAGCATGATGCAAATTTGGTGATCCATAACATATCCGTACAGCTTGTTTTTGATGTAGTAAGTGAAACTTCATTATGCCCAGAACGCCAGGGACGGACTATGCCCAATGGTTAACAACCCAGAATATTTGCATAGATGACGATCGCAATCTGCCTGTATCAAAAATAAGTTCCCTGAAGAATTTGCCAACGATAATACCCTCTTGGTTCAATACAGTAAAATTAACAGTTTAGGAAATATTTATGATTTTATGTTACAGAGCACTCGAGCGGCGCCTCCACCATTTTTTGTTTCTAATTTTAATTGCACTTAATGTTAGAAGCGTACATATTTTTAAAACAAGAGCCTAGAAAATCTTACTGTGTGCTAATGTAATGTTCAATAACCAAATTTGAAATACAATTTACACTTAACACAAAATAGAGAAACAAAACAAGAATATGTTAAAGTTAAAAAAAATAATTTTAATGAAGGAAGAATATCAAAATACATTTTCGATATGGGCACTTTTCATCTCCACATACTTCCTAAGTCTACGAATGTTATTTGTTTGTACACGAAAAAGCATTTCTGAAGTAGGTCCAAAATTATTACAATGGAAATTAATTCTTTGTAGTAATTTATCCCTTGCCTGTACTGGAGTTGCGTACACTAAACTTTTCAAGTATCCCGACGTAAGAAGTCCATCGGGTTAAAATCTGGAGGCTATGAAATTTCGACTCCTCTCCCAATCCATTTATTATTAAACACAATGGATAAATAATTTTGTACATCAAGATTAAAATGGAGAGGAACCCCATTGTGCATGAATTAAACATTTCTTCGAGTGTCTAATGGAACATCATCTAATAGTGGCTGCAAATTATTTTGCAAGAACTCCAAATATCGATGTCCATTCAGACGTTCCTCAAAAACGTATGGAGCTATTAAATTATTACTCTATAAATGCTTTTTCGTGTACAAACAAATAACATTCGTAGACTTAGGAAGTTTGGGAAGGTGCAAGGTGCCCATATTGAAAATGTATTTTGATAGTTTTATATCTTTTAAATTATTTTTTTAACATTACTTGTTTTTCTATTTTGTGTTATGTGTAAAGCGTGTTTGTCAAGTTTTGTTAGTGAATTACATTAGCACACAGCAAGATTTTCTAGGCTCTTGTTTTAAAAGTATGTACGCTTTCAACATAGTAATTATGTCCAATTAGAAATTAAAAACAAAAAATGGTGGAGGCGCCGCTCGAGTTCACTGTGACATAAAATCACAAATATTTCTTAAACTGTTAATTTTACCGAGTTGAACCAAGAGGGTATTATCGTTGGCAAATTCTTCAGGGAACTTATTTTTGATACAGCCAGATTGCGATCGTCATCTATGCAAAAATTGTGGGTTGTTAACCATTGGGCATAGTCCGTCCCTGGCGTTCTGAGCATTATGAAATTTCATTTACTACATCAAAAACAAGCTGTACGTATGTGTTATCGATCACCAAATTTGCATTATGCTGAAGTTAATAGTTTAGAGACTGTAAATAAAAAAAAATTAATTTTCAACTTTGAGGACTCGTAACTTGTTAACGAAGGTCAGTATGGAAAAAATTTATATGAAGAACTGATATTATTTTGAGCTCATTTATCTGTACTCAAATTTGTATCAAGTACCGGGACACCCTGTATATATTTTTTACTTACTGTTTCATTTAGATACTCAATTGACAGGTTCAATTCCAAAATTGAGGTAATTGAGGTTATGTAATAATTTTACTGCCGGTTTGGAATTAGAATTCTGATCGTTAATGTGATTCCGAGATAAAACTTCAATAGTCTTAGTAGAGTTTTGTCGGTATATGAGGTGGTTAGTTAAAAATTAATCAAAACTTGATTGCATATTGCAATTTTTCCTGAAATTAAACCTCAGATATTTCAACTAGTCTTTTTTATTTTATGCTATAACTCATTTGTGGTGTATAAAGACAGATTTAATACAATTTGGTTTCTAGACACACTATTGATTACAGTGGTACTGTATCTATCTTTCCCTGTGTCTAAGAGGAATTAGTAATTTATTTTCTTAAGAACGCCATTTTGGCTTTTAAGTTAAAATGAGCAACAAGGGAATTTAACATTTTTACATTTAAATGTAATTTTATGGTCGTTGAACTCGATATTTCATAAAGATATCGTTGGATTCATATATACATATAGTTATATATATTTTTTTTCATTTAAGAAAAAAAAGTTGATTATCGTACGTAGAGAATATCTTCACCGTTGTTGGTGATAAATAAGCGTTTTAAATTATACGAATTTATGTACAATTAAACGTTATAAAAACAGTGAAAATTTAACAAAACAAAATTATTGTAGAATGATGTATTTAATAAATTCAATTTGAAAAGATTTGTTGGTTATTATATGTAGTGCTGGAAAAACATAAAATAGCGATGACATTCCCGTTCGTGGATTAGCCAGACATTTCAATGGTTATTCAACTGAAGGTTAAGGCAACAATAAAGTCATTTTAACGTTCGTTTTCTTAGTGGAAAAACAACGCAAAATTTTCAATTCGTTATATTTTAAGAATTAACTGAAATATCTCAGATCTGTTGGAAGAGTATATGCAAAATATTATTTATAGTTTGACTCATCGTGTACCTTTAACAATTTATAGATATTCTAATTTAAAAAAGAGAGGAATTTCGAATTTAATCGATTAATACGAATTTAAAATGAAGTACTAAATATATATTATTTGGAAAACATATGTAACATATTGAATTTTGATTGTCTTATTTAGAGAAATTTTGAGATCTTTTTTAGTTTCCATTAAGAATGATCCAATTACTTTAAATTGACAAAGCGCACAAATACTTCATGAAAGCAGTAAGGCGTCTTCCGTTTCGAAGAGGGTATATTTTGCGATTTGTACCGTACGATCTCCCAATGATTCATCCTCCTTCCGATGAAAATATGACGGTGTGACGAACTTTGGATGAAATCTGGAAAACCGCTACCTCCGCGCCGTTCTCGGTATTGGGTACAGGTAGCATATGCCCCTAGTCCCCTGGTGGGAGTCGGAGACTTCAACGACAGTGAAAGCCCTGTCAGAAAGCCGGCAATTGTTGACTATCAGCAGCCGATTACTGTCGCAGTGCGAGCGCTAGTGTCACGTCGAGATTTGAAAATCCACAGTGTGCAGAGTGCTATGAGATGTTAAGAATGGAGGAGGAGTTCGAATTCAAGTTGCCGACTGTGCCCGCCGACGACTATAAGCAGATCCAGCTCAACATTTCTAATATTTTCGTGAAACCCAATGTTGGCGTGCCGGAAGTGGACCTGGCCGATCCGCAATACGAACAATTCTTGGCGGACGTTTGGGTCGGAATCGTTTTGACTCTGATGGTGCTAAGTTGTGTCTGTTTCATGTGCTCCTGCCTTATTTACCACAAATTTCAGCAATGGAAAAGTAGAGGTAATTATCTTTTAAAACACGTTTTACTGTTATTTTTCTGGGAGACAATTGACCGCTAAATGTATATATCACTGTTACTTTGCAGGAAAATTTGAATATTCCTGCTAAATAAATATTATTGTATAATATTAAACCTTCCAAAAAAGTATGTCTAACTTATTAAAAGGTTATTACCATCTAAAGGTTACCAGCATTTTTTAGAACAGTTTTGCCAAATTACAATATAATATCGTCTAAGTAATGAATAAAGATTCAAAAGTTTCAGTATCTATTCACAAAAAATTACACAATACCCCAAAGAAATTACCAACTATCAATCAACTATCTTTATAAAATATTATTCGCTTATATTTTCACATTAACGTTTTGTTAATTTCTTGGATAATATCCTCTTAATATCCGCAAAGTTTAAGGTATTTGGCTTAATTTTAGTTTGGACAAAATACCTCTGTACATGTATTGCTCTATATTCTGCATCCTACTTATAGCTGTTATTTTTAGGAATAGATAACAATTATGTACGAATTTTACTGAAAAGTCTTTTTTATCAGCTGAAACAAGTAACAAAAAGAAAATCGACCAACGTCTCTTTTTGAATTAAGTCCTTAGGATAATGAGAGCTTATGTACCTATTTACTGGTTTACGATATCCACCATCCACAAAAAATCGCTTGTAAGGACTTTTCTTTATATTGTCTTCCTCAGAAATTATTGTTACCTCATTTTGCGTGATCAAAGACTATAAGATTTGGAGGTCTTATAATAAAGAAGACATAGATAGTCACGTTATTTTTCCATATAGATATTGACCCTTTTGGCCACATCTCTTTTATTATAAGGGTTAGATTAATCATACCTTATATTTCTGTAATCGAAATATAGTGCCCATCCAAGTATATAGGTTTATAGTACTCCTTCTGCAGATATTATTTGTAAACCAGAAAAAAAATGTTAAATGTAAAAGTTGTATGAATAGTTATGAAACACTAGAATTTGGGTCCAATGAACAAATGAACATCGCAAAACATAAATATGCTGTTTTTTTTCAATACGATTCCTTATACTTTGACAAAATTTTTGATAGAACAGCTTCTTAAGATGAGAGTGATATAAGATTTGATAGGTTATTCCCTTATATTATGGACATATGTCCAAAAGAGGCAATGTTGAAATGGCACAAAGCCGTACCTTATTTACTGTCACTCTAATCGCAAGAAATTATACTTTTTAAAAGTATAAATATATACAGGGTGTTCAATGAAAAACTAAGTTCTGTATAGTTTGACACCTTTACGATATTAATTTGTTTGATATGATGTAGAATTCTGACGCTTTAGGAGACTTCGTATAATGTTTTTATTCAATATATCTGTAAGCATTTCTAAAAATAACATATGTGAGGTGCAAAATATAGGGAAACACAGAGTAGAACACACAAAATTAAGTTGAAAAAATCTAATAAAACGATTTATTTTGATCTTGTTGGAAGTAAAGAAGAAATAGAAATATTAATGAATAAAAACCATTTATTTTGCCTCAGTTTTGTAGATAATATATACATTATTTCTAAGTTATGATCTTGATGATACATACAAGTTCTGGTATGAACATAAAATTGTACTACAGTAGTTGTTAATAAAAATACAAATGTATATTTAACGGATTACTCCAAAATGTTCTTTATATTCTAAAAGTTATAAATATTTGCTCCACTATTCATAAATACTTCAATAAATTTAGCGGTCAAAATCGCAGCTCTAAAAATAACGGATTCTATTTTATTACATATTTCTGAATAATATTAGAAACATTTTAGTGAAACATTCTCGAATATATTTAAACAAACGTCACGAGAATTACAAATAAATTAATAATTGTAGCCTATTAAAGACCCCTACTTCTTCAATCGTTTGTTTGTTTTCGGAACGTGATTAAATAAAACCACCTGATAATGCCATAAATAATTTCAGACAATGTAGTCCTAATCAGACTTAAATATCTAGGTGTATTCTCTGGCTACGTGTCTTTTAAAATCAGTAATGAGTAATATTATGAAATTTCTTTTTATAGCTTTAAATCCAGGTGATGATGATATTCAAGGAAAATTGTCTTAGTTATTGGAAACATCGCCATTTATATTTTGCCGATGGCATGTAGAGTCATAAGTATAACTATTAACAATTATGCAAATAGTGTAGTCTAGGAAAGGAAACTTTACGTATAATCGCCCGGATTTGGTACTCATGGAATTTGGTCTACTCACGGTAATTTGGTTGAGATTTGGGAATAGGCGCCAGGACCACTTAAGTTATCTGTTTATCTTATACAACGTTATATTTCCAGACGATATAATCAACTGAAAATTAATTTGAAAAAAATGAACACTAATGACGGGCATAAAAGTTAGTTATTTGTTACAATTTTCAGACTTGTATTTTGTAGACTATCAAATACCGTACCAAAAGCAGAGCGGGTCAATATTATATTGTATATTAGGTTAGATTATGTCAATATTGTAATATGTTATTCACTTTAGTTTAGTGGAAACCTGAATGAAGATATTGGTTCAATATTTGTAATAAGTAAACATACCTAATTATTGTCACATCTGTTTAAAAAGATTTGAAGAAATATATGAAGAGAAAAATAGACCTAAACGACTTTGGGAGCAGGAGCAGGAGGGAAAAGTTCGGTGCAAGTCGTCAACTTGCACGAAAAAATAGAATAAATTCTATTCCAGTGTACTAAATTGTTACTTGCTCCATAACTTTAATACTTACCACATATGCGCTGTTCAAATGGGTTCAAGGGACTTAAAATTTAGTTAAAATTTAGTTTACTGTTCCCGTGTAAACAAGCCATTAGACCAGTATTATTTGATTTGAATCAAGTCAAGTAGCTTGAAAATCAAGTCAAACAGTGCATCTCTAATTATAAACTATAAAATATAGAATATTTGAATCAATATAATGCAAAATACGTAATAAAGTGATGCCCTGTAGTGATTAAAGTGCCAACTGTCATTTGTTAACTTCAAAATCTAATTAATACATTTAATGGTAGTAAATAATAAACTAATATCAATTTTTATTATTACATTTAATAAAAATAATAATTGTTGTCGTATTATTTTAAAGGGAAGTGAAATCGATAGGTATACAAAACATGATATCGATGCTCAGAGTTAAAATTTAATGATGAATGTGAATTTCCTTAAATTATAATGTGTCCTAGTCATGGGGTTCCTCAAGGACATAAAAGTAATAATAATACTTAGATTCGGTGATTACAAATTAAACAATCCACGAAACGCAAGTAATTGTCTATAGGTAGCGGTTCTTTATACAGTACGCGCCTAAAGTATGGAATAAATTCAGTAAAAACGAAACAATTTTTTTTTGGGAAAAATCCTCGAACAGGTCGATTTTTAATTTAAAAAATACATATTTTAGCATAAAAGACTAGTTTCAACCTTCATTTGTTTTCGATTAATGACGTCATCGACATTTTTTTTAAATAGCAACCCCCTATCTTTTCTTGATTCTGAAAGATCGTTTCATTGTCGATCCGACAGTATTAAAATGTTGCTATTTTACATAGGAAAGTTTTCGTGTAAATGACGATTGAATGTTAGAAAACGTAAATTTTATTCATTAAAAAAATAACAATTCCTATGTCAAGCAAATACAGTTCATTAAGTTTTCTACCTAAATTAAGTATTCGAATTGCCACCCACCGACTTCTTGACAATATGCAAGTCTGTATAGAAATTCTTCTTGCACATTATGAATTATTTCTGGGGTAACTGTGTATTTCATCTATAATACAATTTTGGAGTTCTTCTAAATTACGTGGTCTATCAACGTACATTTTGGAATTTAAGTAGCCCCATAAGAAATAGTTCAGGGGTGTGAGATCTAGGGATCTCGCGGGCCTTTCTATCGGTCCTCGTCTGCCGATCCACCGCCTAGGAAAACAATTGTCCAGAAAATCTCGAACAAGGCGCGCATAGTGCGAAGGTGCACCGTCTTGCTGAAACCATATGGGAATATCAGGATGTTTTTCATTAAATAAATCGCAAACTTCCTGCTGCGTTCTAGTCTTATCCCCGCATCCGATAAGAATTAAAATTTCAATTCTTTGTGTGACAGTTAAATGTGCCATAATATTTTAAATTCAACAATAATTTTTATATCGTTTACAATACTTAGAAAGTCGGTATGACAGTGACACTTTGTAAAGATTTACACCTACGTGATCCATAAAAAACTTCAGGCATTTCGAAAAACTAAATTTGATAACGTTTTTGCTTTATTTTAATTGATTTGGGTTTTCTAACATTCAATCGTCATTTACTCGAAATCTTTCCTAAGTAAGATGGCAACATTTTAATACTGTCGGATCGACAATGAAACGATCTTTCAGAATCAAGAAAAAAAAGGGGGTTGCTATTTAAAAAAAATGTCGATGATGTCATTACTCGAAAACAATTGACGGTTGAAAATCGCTTTTTATGCTAAAATATGTATTTTTAAATTAAAAATCGACGTGTTCGAGGATTTTTCCCAAAAAAAAATTGTTTCGTTTTTACTGAATTTATTCTATACTTTAGGCGCGTACTGTATAATGATTCTGTGTTGTTTTCAGAAACGTTTTCAGTAGAGTAGGTACAAATAAAATTAATCCATGTAAGACAATGCCTCCACCATTTCATTATAAGATTGTCTAAAAATATAGACTCGTTTGTGTATTATTAATATTTATTGCATCTTACATTTCTCATTTTCTGTTTTCTTTTGCCTATGCCTCTTTTTTTCATTTATTTTCTAGCTTGCATAACATTGACAAAATATTTATATTAAGTACAATATAATTTTTTAATTTCAAATTGTAATTTCTCATATTGAAATAAACTGCCAAGTTCAAATTTAATTTAATTAACAATAATTATTAATAGTTTATTATCTATATTAATACTTTTTTCATAACAAATATATTTC